TAACCAAAAAAATTAATTATAACTTTATGTGCTATACTTGTAAGGTCTGTGGATTCTATAGTGTGGTTGAATGAGTTAAAGCATCTTACATGAAATAGATGAATAGATTTAAATAGTAACTTAAAACAGTATTTTTATTTTAATTAAAAAGTATTGTTTTGCATGCTGGAGAGGATATGGAGAAAGGGGAACCCTCCTCCACTGCTGGTAGGAATGCAAACTTGTACAACTACTTTGGAAATCAGTCTGGCTTTCTCAGACAATTAGAAATAGTGCTACCTCAAGATCCAGCTATACCACTTTTAGGCATATATTCAAAGCATGCTCAACTATACAACATAGACATTTGCTCAACCATGTTTGTAGTGTCTCTATTTGTAATAGCCAGAAGCTGGAAACAACCCAGATGTCCCTCAGCGGAAGAATGGATAGAGAAATTGTGGTGCATGGAATACTACTCAGCTATTAAAAACAAGAAAATCATGAAATTTGCAGGCAAAAGGTGGGAACTAGAAAATATCATCTTGAGTGAGGTAACACAGAAGCAGAAAGACACACATGGTATATGCTCATTCATAAGTGAATATAAGCCATATTCTATAGGATAAACATACTAATATCTGTATTCCTAAAGAAGCTAAACAATAAGGAAGACCTTAGGGAATATGCTCAATACTCATTCAGAAGGGCAAATACAATAGACATTGGAAGCAGGAAAAGACAGGGAACAGGACAGGAACCTACCACAGAGGGCTTCTAAAAAACTACTGATCAAGGTATCAAAGCAGAGGCTGAGACTCATAGCCAAACTTGAATGTATGGAATCTTATGGAAGAAGGGGGATATAGAAAGACTTGGAGGGGACAGGAGCTCCAAAAGGAGACCAACAGAGGTAAAAAAAAAAAAAAAAAAAAAAAAAAAGAAAGAAAACTGGGAGCCCTGCAGAGTCTGATACCCCAACCAAGCACAATGCATGGAGAGGACTTAAAACCCAGCTTAATGTAGCCCATAGACTCAACGTAACCCATAGACTCAGTATCCAAGTGGGGTCCCTAGTAAGAGGAGCAGGAACTTTCTCTGGCATGAACTCAGTGACAGGCACTCTGATCACTTCACCCTGAGGGGAGCAGCCTTGCCAGGCCACAGAGGAAGACAATGCAACCAGTCCTGATGAGACCTGTTAGCCTAGGGTCAGAGAGAACGGGAGGAGGACTTCCCCTATCAGTGGACTAGGGGAGCAGCATAGGGGGAGAAGAGGAAGGGAGGGAGGGATTGGGAGGAAACAAAAGAGGGGGTCACAGCCAGGATACAAATTGAATAAATAGTAAGAAAGGATAATAATAAAAAAGAGAAAAAAATAAATTCAAAAAAAGAAAAAAATTGTGTTTAATAAAAAATGATTTCTACTCATGATATGGAAAACATGAGTTGGAAACTTGAGTCATGATGCCATAGTTTCTTTGCCTCAAAGTATCAACCTTGCAGAGATGGTTTGAAGTTTAATACAGACAACATAAGGGAAACTCCCAGTCCTAGGTGTTCAGAGAGACTGATCCCATCACACCCAGCGCCTGACCCCTTCATCAATGCTAATTCCCTGTATAAACATAGGGCACCGGGCAGAAGCTCCTTAATAAAAAAATGCTGGGGAGCATTCAAAAGTGTCGCTGAGTAAAGCAGCCTGTCTCTCCAGATAAGAAGCACAGCGTCTTCAGATGATCTAACCCTCTTTTCACTTCATCGTGTATCCTAATGTTGCTTCAATGAATGTGTAGTTGTTACAAAATAATGTTATGTGAATGGGGCATGACTTATGATCCAAGTGTTAGTATATGAGAAATCTCTTTTGATGTTTCCTTATAGTCCTTTATAATACCAAACTGCTTTGAATAAAATGGACCTTAACTGCTTTGCTAGCCACTGCTATGGCTGTGGATACCGAGAAAGAAATGACTGTATGAATTATAAATAATGGTGCTTGATTAGGCTTTCTTGTATAACCCCTCTTTGCATCAGAGCTGGGCTGTTATGGCCATTTCCCCATTCTCCTCTTCGTCTCCTGACTTCCTGTAGTGTGCACTTTAATACTCCTCGAACAATGATTTTATGTTACCTTTAGCCCGCTTGAACTTTTAACAGGTCTCTGTTTAGCCATAGCTGTCCTTTGCAAGTGTCGGTATATGTGTCACTGTAGGATACAGTGGTCCAGGTAAAAAGCAATCCTGACATTTACTGGACTGAGATAAACTCTTCCTCAAAGCTCACAGTTATCCACGAGAGTGAATCTGTTTTGAATTGCCTCACACCCTCTCAGCCATCAGCTGGTACCGGCCATACTTGTCTCTGACTATGGGGAATCTTTCCTCATAATCTTGAGTTCTGTTCCTCTGATGCAGAGAAGTGAGGAGAAGGGAAGGAGAAGAGAGTGATGGAGGGAGGGAGGAGAAACACAAGAACATTTCTGCATCGAGAACTGTTTATATAATTATACCATCATCTAATTCCTCCAGCCTCTGGTTTTTTAGACTATAGCAGAAATAGCATGCATAATGGTTAATACATGCATCCTCAAGAAAAGGTGTAATAATGCTCCTTGATAGAGGGAAAGGGAAAAGTAGTTATAAATGAGAAACCCCAACTCTGCGGTATAAATAGCCTATTCTTTAATAGAGATGTAGGTACGCTCTTCCCTTTACACCCTTACTTTCCTTTACTCTCCCAGTAATCCTACTGATGTCTTGAATTCACTTAGACAAGGCCACTAGGCTGAGCACTTGTCTAGACCTCAAGTGTGGCCATCCCCATTTTCCAGATGAAATTTTATGTCCAGGCTTTTGGTCTCTTCCAGAAGGTCCCTCAGCCTCTGACATGGCCATGACTCAAACCCAGGTTGTTAGACTTAATTTTTTTCTTCTCTAGCACATGCATCTAAGCATAGACCCTTCTCCGCATCATTTCTTTTGTTTTGTTTTGTTTTGTTTTAATTTGTGATATTTATCTTAACTCAGGTATCTTGTACTGTTCACAGTTCTCTAAAGGAACAAAACCAATAGAATGATTATATGTTCAAAGGTTATAGAGACTGACTCACACAAAATAGACTGGTTGGTCCAGCAACAGCTGTCTTCACACTGTTCAGCTCATGATTTGGGGGGTCTCAACAGTCCCTATCTGACACTGAAGAGGTGCTAGTCTTTAGTCTAGATTAGAAGCCTAGAGAAGCTGGGTTCTGATGTTCGAGAAGGAATATAACAGCAGCAGTGGTGGCGGCAGCAACAGAGCAGATGAGCCTGCCAATAAAAGAGCAAGCAAACAAGCCAAAGAAAAGCCTTCTTCTTTTATTTTAAATCCAGACGGCCACAAGGAAGGTGTCACTTACATTTAGAGTGGCTCTCCCATTTTGAAGAACCTAATCAGGAAAGTGGAAAATTCTTCACAGATGGGTCTCAAGGCTTGCCTTTTAGTTGACTGCTGATTTAGTCAAGTTGGAAACCAAGATCACTCACCACACTTAAGCGACCTGTCCTTCAAAGCCCAGCTCACAGTGGGTATGGCCTTCCCTTGACCCAGTCATACGAAGCTCAGTTCATCAGTTTGTGCAGATTGTCTGCTTGACTGGGCAACCAGCCCTGTGAAGACTAAGCTGTTTAAGCTATCCAGTAAATGGTTTCTAAGCTACTGCTCTCCGGTTTGTATTTCTTATTACTACGTCAGTGCTCTGTCCCTGGCAGACACTTAATAAAATGGAAGCAATATTAAATTAACAGCTCTTCACAGATAGAAGGCTCCCTCCTCTCTTTAGGATAAGATATAATTCTCAGATTTGAGATTAAATCTTAAAATTTCTGAATTAACAAGTTCTCTGGAGGCTATTTCCAGTTTAATAAAAAAAAAAAAAAAAAAAAAAGGAAAGAAAGAAAGAAGGGACGGTAAGCCAATGTTGTTATCACATTAAAAGGGTTGGATTTGATAGAGGATAATTCGCCTCTTCCGGTTCCGTGGACCTTTTGGCTTGTTTGTTTGTTTTCACTGGAAGTAAACAAAATCCCTCCTCTTGCCAAGAGTAACTAAGAAAGGACCTTGACCAGGAGGCAAAGGGCAGCATCAATCCACCAAAACACAACCTTGGATCTGTTTTCCAGAACCAGGCCACGGTGCTAGGAGATGGCAGGCATTCGGGAAACAGAGGGTTTGTTTGTGTATCCCCTGAGGGTTGAAGGTCGTTGTGGAGGTATGGCACAGTGTGGGTCATGAAATGGGAAGCCTTGTAACAGCCTGCATTAAAAATGTAAGAAAATTTAAGCCAGGCAGTGGTGGTACACACCTTTAATCTCAGCACTCAGGAGGCAGAGGCAGGTAGATCTCTGAGTGTGAACCGGCCTGGTCTACTGAGCGAGTACCAGGACAGCCAGCGCTATGCAGAGAAACCCTATCTCAAAAAACCTTAGAGAATTTAGGCCTTTCCCTCCTTTTATGTTTCTTGAAGCCCTGCTCCCCCTATTTACCTCTTTTCACATGTGATTCCCCCCCCAAGTCCCCCCACCCATGCATGACTTAAAGAAGACTACATGAATCCGAAACACTGATTGGTTAAGTCTCCCTAATCCATTCTGCCCTCATTTACACGCTGCAGTATGATGGTTAGCATAGCCAAGAAGCACCAGACTGTAGCTCTCCCAAGAAATAACAAGGCATATAATTTATAATACATTTATGTTCCAAACAAATGAGAAACACTGTCAATGTGAAAACAGCTTCAGTGAGCAGCATACCTTTGGGGAAGCTGGAGAATTTTGACTTAAATGCCCTAAAGAATGTTAGATAAGAGTTGGTAAAACAACACTTCACCAAAAAAAAAAAAAAAAGTTATTAAAGTGAAAACGACAAGGGAGTATCTCACGTATCAGAAGAATTCCTGGAACAATGAGGGGAAATAACTCTCTAAAAAGAAACTGTTATTTTAATGTTTTGTTCTTCATCGCTGGGTCTCTCACATTCAGGAAAATTAGGTGGACTTACACATGAAAATAACACCATAGATTCCGGAGAACTTGATATTGGCCGGAGAGCAATTCAAGAGGTTCCTCCTGGGATCTTCTGGAGATCACAGCTCTTTATTGATCAGCCACAGTTTCTTAAGTTCAACATCTCTCTTCAGAAGGATGCATTGATCGGAGTTTACGGCCGGAAAGGCTTACCGCCTTCCCATACACAGGTGAGTGTGGGTGCTGTCGTCAGTAAAGAGCAGGCCCCCGGTTCGCATTTCCAGAAGCTCCTCCAGCCTTGAAACTCAGCTGCTGGGGAAAGCCTTCGCCCCTAACTGCCTTCCTTGCCACAGAAGTCTGAGGGCAGCTCGTGCTTGTTTGAGACCTCTGAATCACTAGAAGGAAGAATGGTGGGGCTTGTGTTGGTAATGATTGGTTGAGATGGCTTAAAAATGTCGGAGGCACTTAATGAACATAGAGCAGCAGCTGGAAGTCTAGCACACTGTACTCTCTCCAAGATTCTGTTGCAATTTCAGGTGGTTTTTTTGCCTTTCCTAGGACAGATGCGTATATATCCACCTTAAATCTATTGATTTGGTTAAAGCGGTTTTGAGATTTATGTCAGGTTTTTTTTTTTTGTTTGTTTTTGTTTTTTACTGAAGAAAATACGGAAACACTTGCATAATAAGCATGATAGTTAACCTCAGTTTCTCTTTGAAAATAAGGAAGGGTAATGTGACTAGACAGAATGCTCGTAGGAAACCAAACATGGTGGTGTCAGCACGGTCCTCAGACTACTGGATCCTTAGCATTTTGAAGTCAATTCTTGGTATGAAAATACTCCCACTGGAACAGCCAGAACTGGAGAACCACTACTGAAATGTCCACAGACGAACCAGGACCTTGTTGCACAGACCTGCAATCACAGTTACTCTGAAGGCTGAAGCAGGAGAATCACAAGTTCAAGGCTAGCGTGGGCAGCTTAGTGAGATGAATTACAGAGTTAAAAAGTAGGCGAGGAAAAAAAAAAAAGTAGGCAAGGAATATGACTAAATTATAGAGTGCTTGCCTAGAAACTTTGAGGCCCTGACACCCTAGGTTCAATCTCAACTGCCACAAAATAATAATAATAATAATAATAATAATAATAATAATAATTAATAAAGTCCATAATACCAAGTCATGATATGTGTGGTTTGGAAATTATGGTTTTGTTATTTAAATTAGGTTAAATAGGAGCTGAAATATAATAAAGGAAACCCTGAGCTTCAATCTCTATCATCAGGAGAAAGAAAAGGCCCCAGAATGTCTAAGAGAAATTATTTGAATTATCTACTATAAAATTGGAAGAGAGATTTCTCTAAGATGTATTATGCTAATAAGTCAAGAAATTAAAAAATTAATTAACACTTAGATGAGCTTGACATATTTTATAATAAGTTTATTTCCTTGAGGGATTCCATATTAGTTTTTTTTTCACTTGTAAAAGAAAGACCAAGGTTTTCATACAAACTACATATCTGTGATTATTTTCTATAATCCTAGATTATGAATTATGGAAAAAATTGGTTAGATACTAAGAAAGAAATCACAGCTTAAAAACAACACTGAAATTCTTGGCATGCTTTCTAAAATATGTATGGATTTTATGGATGTGTAATTTTTGAACAATATGTTACAATATAGTCTCTTATCTGTGGTTTCAAACTGAATGCCTTGAATCCCTCTATGTCAAACACTTGTTATGATGTACCAGTATCCGATTTTAAACTTTAAAATTTACCCCAGTGTAATACTCACTTTAAACCTCTGGGGGGAGGTAGCCATAGAGAAAGACACTAAAAATGGAAAACCATCCCATGCTCATGGATTGGGAAAATTAATATTGTGAAAAATGATGGTTTTACCAAAAAGCTTTTTACAGATTCAGTGCAATCCCAATCAAAATCCCCATCTCATTCTTCACAGAGACAGAAAAAAAAAAACTATCAATGAAAGTGAATTTGTAGAACTCTAGTTACCACAAATTGTACCTACCTGAGTAGTCTAGTGAGATATGGAAACCTCTCCCTGCTGAAATTGCGTGTAAAATTAAATTCCTTTTCTCTATTTCAAAGAGTCCTTTAAGTTAAGCACATTTGTGAATGTGCAACTTGCAGTCATCTGAAAATAATTTCAGATGAAGCATGTGCGTGTCCGTGTGTCTGAGTCTATGTCTCTGAGTGTGTGTTGTGTTGTGTTGTGTTGTGTTGTGTCCAGGCATGGGGTACATGCACTTGGGAAGAGAAGGCCAAGGAGCCGGCCAACAGAGCACAAAATCAGCCTGTTCCATGTAGCAAGTTTCAGACCAGCCAGGGCTGCGTTAAAATGTGTGTAGAGGGTTGTGTTAAAAAGTTTGTTTAACGATATATAGTTGACTCTTCGCATGAGAGGCTTAACATAAAATTAGCAAAACAAATGGCACAGTTTCACATTTTCTTTCAGTTGCACCATTATTTCACCATGAGACCCATGGCATCCATCCTTCTTTTCTACCACAGCGTATGTATCTGTGTAAGGCATGCGCCGTCTTAAGCCTTAGTTATTAGCGTCCCTCACCCTGGTTTATTCCAGATCAACAGAGCAAATAGCTGTTTCTGAATTCACTGCTTAAACATGAAATATGCTGTAAAGCAACCCAAATTGAACATTTCTCTGCTCCTGGAGAACATTAAATAAATCAACCTAAAATAATTAAAATTGTCCAGCCCCTCAGAATGGTCACTTGAGTTTTGAAAGTCTTCATCTTTGTGACCCTTTATAAAACTGTCCATTTGGCCATTGCCAAAGAACCAATTGCCTTTCTTCTCCCTGACGGCCGATTTATTTTCCTGGACTGTTGCAAGCCTATGGAAGCCTTTCTGAGCTCTACGGATTGTTGTGCTATGGCATGGCAGTGCATTCGCCTGAAGGCTGTTTCAGAAAAAGAGGCAGAACCCTGAGTTCTAAGCACACCCCTCCCACTTTTTGGTTTTATGTCATACTTGACTTTGTAAACGCTACTTAACTCTGCCAAGATTCAGTGTCTGTTGGTAAAATGAGAGAGTTGAATTGGAAGATTTCTACATTCTCCTTCTCTGTGTTCCAGTGATATACAGCAAGACTATGCCACCATCAGAAATTTGGGGAGGAAAAATTTTAAAGCTGGGTAGAATGACATACACTTATCCTGGCACTTGAGAGGCTGTGAGGCAAGAGGTTCGGTACTTAAAGGTCATCAGGGGCTGCATGGCAAGACGGGCGCAGAAAAGCAAAAACAAAAGTTGAAGGTCTCATTCAAGCATTCACTGACTCTGAGTCCCATCAATTTAATAACAGAAATTGAATTAAACAGATGGTTAGATAGCGTTAGCGTTCCAGAAGTAAGCAACCAAGATACCAGGAGAAATCTATTTGCATTTTTACATGGCTGATTAAATAGTAAACCACTGAGAAAAGAAACATAAGCATTCTTCTATTGATTTTACAAAGCATCTTGTTAATACATTGATGTTCAAAGCAACTTTGAGAAAGAATTTTAAAGTGTATAACACATACACATAAGTTTGTGTCTCACACACACACACACACACACACACACTAGGTAGTAGCATAAAAATAAGGTGATATCATGAGAAAATTTCCCTTAAAGCAGTCATTCTCAAACTGTGGGTCACCCTCCCCCGGGTGTTCGCATATCAGACACTCTGCATATCAGATGCTTACATCATGATTCATAACAGTAACAGAGTCACAGTTATGAAGTGGTAGCAACAAAAAATAACTTTATGGTTGAAGGTCACAGAAACCGGAGGAACTATATTCAAAGGATCACAGCATTAGGAAGGTTGAGGACCACCGCCATAAAAGGAGATGAAGAAGTTGCAAGTTAGTGAAATCCTCATGATAAGTGATAGCTATTCAGAGTTTGAGATTGAAGAGCTAGTTTAAAGGTTTTCATGCTGAAAGTAGCATAAGTTCTTAAGACTTCTCCCCCCAAAAAATCAGTCCATACACAGTTCCAGTTCGTAAGTAGAGCAAAGCTCAGACTTGCCCATATATGATCACAGTATGCCTCCAGAGCAAGCCATGTAATATGGTTATTTTGGGTGGAAATGATGAAAGTATAAAGAAGGTAATTTTTCCTCAGGTGTTTTGAATCGCTCTTCTGAAGTCATCTATGAAATGTCATCACAAAAACCTAGAGCTGGGATGGAAAGCCATCGGCCACTTCCCACCTCCACCAGGCTTCTTCCCATTCTCACGTTCCGTCAGGTGTGGGACAGATGCCCACCGCAGTGGCGATTGACTGTGGTCTCGAAAGACTAGTTAAAACTTCAGATTTCTATCCTTTTACTTTTGCAGATAAAGTATATAGTATTTGAAGGAAAAAAATATCTGTATTGAACCACAAAAAGAAGCTCTTCCCTCTTGCTTTGTCCTGACAATATAAATATTTAAATATAAGTAAATGGAGAGGACTTTCATGAGGAGGAGACACCCTTCAAAATTTAGACTTCCTTCTCCTGTGATCATGAGGAAATAGAATGCCAGTGAACTTTTTAAAAATAGCCAGAGAAATCATCGTTTTTATTCTTGCAAGAAAATTGAAAAAAAAAAAAGTTTTAAGGCTAATGAAGTTAGGATATATTTTGCAGATTACTACCCAAAGAACAAAATGCTTCTCTTTAAATAAAGGCTTTAATAAGTCAAACCTGAATCACATATTAAATTCTCTTATTGCAACAGAGGCTGTCTGTGGTCTGCACAGTGGCAATCTATTTAAACATAATTCCCAGAAATTCCAATAACTAATTTTATTTTTATTTGACTTGGTTAAGAAAGGCATATGATAATTGTCTCCTTGGACAACCATTCCAATTAAAGAATCAATCATAGAACACTAATGACGCATATGGATTTGGTGCTGCAATTACGTGTTTCATGCATAGTATGTATCTACATATTCTTGCGAGCTCTCACGTTTAATGTGTCTTTGAAGTAAAATGAAACTGGGCAATTATATAGCAAGAGAGTCACTGTACTTCACCGAGAAGCTTTTAGCTAGTACAATTATTGAAACCAGTGTTGGAGAGCCTTTTCAGTGTCTTCCAAATTCACTGGCATCTGTTTACAAACTTCTGCCCAGTGTTGCCAGCCACGTGCCGTAGTTTAAGTTCTCCACTTCAACTCTCTTAACCTCCAGTGTCCGTGATTAATCGTAGTAAAAGCAAAAAGTAGCTCCAAGGAGGACTGGCATCAGCTCCCTAACTCTGCGTGTGGCTGTTTCTCCCATCTTACCAAACCCTTCTGTTGATCAGTTGACTGACTTTAATGAAGGATGTTAAGGTCCTCGGTAGGAAGGTTTCACCTGACTGTATTTATGTAAGAATCCCATGAAACTTCTCTTGGGGGGTTGTTTACGTTAGGGTCCCAAGAGAGAGTGCTGTGCTGTGGTGGAAATGGCCCAGCTCTGCATCAGGGTACGCCCAAGTCCATAGAGCACTTCCCAGGTGGGAGGCCCTGCTGAACCTCCCAAAGAGCCCCCAAGAGTAACTGTGAATGCCTTGCCCAAACAGGGGCTTCTGGGATTAGCAATAGTCCCAGTACCCGGTAAGCAGCGCAGCAGTGGTTGCTATATGTCAGCAACAGGATGTAGGAATGGACCTGGAGCCATTCGTGGTCTGAGTAAAATCACACGGGTTTCATGTTTATATCCCGAGACTACCTAAATTTAACAAGCTAGTCGTCGGTCAAGAGAACTGAATACATTTGGAAGGCTTGGCTCCGTGAAAAGGAAGAAAATGATAGTTTCGGTTTAAATGGAACAAGGAGATGTGACAGGTAGTCCTTGTTTTCATAAAATGCCTGGACGGAAGGCTTCCGTCGCTTGGACCTGTCAATCAAGAACTTCCTAACCCTGTACTTACTCGCAAAGAAAGAAGGCCAGAAGAACTGGCCACACGCCTGTTGTTTCCAGGTACTAATGCTGTTTCCCTTGCCCCCATGCCCAGTACGACTTTGTGGAGCTCCTGGATGGCAGCAGGCTAATTGCAAGAGAACAGCGGAACCTGGTGGAGTCCGAAAGAGCCGGGCGGCAGGCGAGGTCTGTCAGCCTGCACGAAGCCGGCTTCATCCAGTACCTGGATTCTGGAATCTGGCATCTGGCCTTTTATAACGATGGGAAAAATCCAGAGCAAGTGTCTTTTAACACCATCGTTATAGGTAGGGGCCTCTGCATCCTTCTCCACCTCCAGCCTAAGCTCCGCGCTCGGTAGAAACTAAATCATCTTTACCAAATTTGAGTGGTTACTAGGGTGATAGGGCGCAGGTAAAATGAACTGGTTTTTGAATTGCTCATTTGTGACTATATGGCAAGCCCTAAAGCTCTGTAAGAAAGGCTATAAATTACCGTGGGGGAGAGAAGCACCCCAAGAGAACACTTTAAAAATCTGCGTTTGAGGCACCACTGCTTGGCGCCAGTATCAGATCATCTTATGTAAATGAATCAAGTCGGGGTTTATGAAGGGAGCCATCCGTAATCGCATCAACACCTCACTAAAATGAACAGAGGGACCACTTCTGAGAGAGGTGGGCACCTCACAAATGCTCCCTCTGTCTCTCTTCCTCAGAGTCTGTGGTGGAGTGCCCCCGAAATTGCCATGGAAATGGAGAATGCGTTTCTGGAACTTGCCATTGTTTTCCGGGCTTTCTGGGTCCGGATTGTTCAAGAGGTATGCAAGTTCGATTCTCTTCTTAAGCCGATATAAATAAGCTGTAGGAATACGTCAAATTGAGAAAACTTAGCAACTCGAGAAAGACAAGGGGCGGGGACGGGGCATCATTCGTTCTTCGGGAGGCTGGGGGGGGGGGGGAACGTGGCTGTTGATCCCTCTGTCTGTCATGTTCTTTCACAGCAGCCTGCCCAGTGCTCTGTAGCGGCAACGGGCAGTACTCCAAAGGCCGCTGCCTGTGTTTCAGTGGCTGGAAGGGCACAGAATGTGATGTGCCAAGTACCCAGTGCATTGACCCGCAGTGTGGGGGTCGTGGGATTTGCATCATGGGCTCCTGCGCTTGCAACTCAGGATACAAAGGAGAAAACTGTGAAGAAGGTAAACATGTCAATATTTACGGAACCCTATTGTTCTCGCCATAAAGGAGCAGATTAAATCTGTAATCTTCCGTTTGGCAAATGAATCCCTCTTTCACACGCTTCTTTAGGAGAGCAATTTTTATTTCCATATTTATGAATGCATTGTCTTATTAGCGGTTTTAACTAATAAAAAGAACAAATACGAAAGAGCCCTCTGCTCTGTTTCTAGAGCATGTGTAAGTCTTTATTTTTTTTTTAACTGTGAGAAAGGAAGCATGCACTTGTGCTTTGAAATTCAACGAAGGACTGACTTGTCTCTTTTTTAGCTTTTTGCGTTGATGCCAACTTCTTTGGCGTGTCTAGAAAGAAAGAACAATTGGATGTAATGTAATGAATGGGAACAACATTGTGTATTTGTTCCGTTGCTGTATAGGAAGATGAGAGTCAAGACACTGTACTGTCAAGTGCAGTTAAACTGGCTTTTTTTTTTTTTCCAGAAAGCGGGGGGAAAAAAAAAAGCACCATTTCCGTTCTCCAATCAGATTGATTTTATTGATCTACACTCACAAAGTAATGCAATTAAGTCTCTGGAATTAAATTTTCAGGCCATTGACCGTACAAGTGTAAAGTTTTATTGAGTCAAATTGCTAAATTAAATCTCATCTTCTAAAGCACATTAAAGTGAATTAAGAAGGACAGAGTGTGCAACTCATTTGTTTCTTTAACAATTTGAGGATCCCAGACAGCTGCCAGTGGTCAGTGGTCGTGGAGCAGGTCAGCATGTAAAGGGTACGTTCTTGAAAAGGCCGTATCTGTGACTCTGCTTACGCACAACACAGAGCTATTGTCCAAAACCTCCAGAGCGTGTTTGACTAATCCGTGAAAATGACAAATTCTTACAATTAGTCTCAGTTACCTAAATGGCATCGGGTTAGTTCCTAATGCTTGGTTGTATTATAACTCTGCTTTTTCAGAAACAAGTCCTTGAGAGTGGTAGACAGACGTCTGCCTAGCTAAAAGATTCATGTGAATTAAATTAAGAGTTGATTCTTCATCCTGCATGAACTCTCTGCTATCTTTCATCTTTAATAAAACTGTTCTCCTCTCTTGACACTAGCGGACTGTCTAGACCCTGGATGTTCTAATCACGGGGTGTGTATCCATGGGGAATGTCACTGCAGTCCAGGATGGGGCGGCAGCAACTGTGAAATACTGAAGACCATGTGCCCAGACCAGTGCTCGGGCCACGGGACATACCTTCAAGAAAGCGGCTCCTGCACTTGTGACCCGAATTGGACTGGCCCAGATTGTTCAAATGGTGAGGTCAATCCGTGCGATATGATTGGGTGTTTACCCATGGTTTACTTAAGATTTGGGATATCTGGGTTTTTCGGGCACACTTGTTAAGCTTGATTACATAACCAAGTGATTGTTTAAAGATATAAATGTTTAAAGGAATGAAGTAGTTACTCCTTATAAAAAGGAAATAAGCTTTGGTATTTTTCTTATTAAAAATTTCCTCTGTTATTGGCAAGGGTTGTCATTCATCGTCACAAGACAGCCTTATCTTCTTCAGTCTCATTGTGTCTGTGTGCTTTGTAGGCACACCAGGCTCTGGCTGGCCTCAGACCCCACCCATAAGAGACTGGCGTGTACCAGTCCAATGCCACCAAGCCTGGAAATCCAGGCTCTTTGTGTCGTGAACAAATAATCTGCAATTTAAAAAAAAGAAAAAGAAACTTATGGACAACAGTAGGCTGAACATGAAAGAGTAATGTAGATGTCCGTTATGGATACTAGTTCTACACAGATTTTAAATTAGATTAGAAGGAAAATGACAGTAATCACATTCACAGCATACGGACACATGCTCATACTCGGACAATACGGAAATGGACATTGTACACAATATTACTTGCTGATTTTTTTTTTTTTTGTAACTCTGGATGCAACTCAGGAACTAATTCCACAATATTCCCAGTCATTAGTCACACAGTGTGAAAGGATGCCATTCAGCCTAGAAGATGACAGTTTTAATTGGGAGCTAAAATGAGCACACGTGAAATAATTAGACGCCAATATAATATCATACCAAGTGTTACATGGAATCATTTGCTAAACTCAGAGGGGTGATCCCGTCTTGATGAACACTGAAAATTTTCACAGGGAGTTCTATTAAGACTTCTGCCTTCACTGAAGCATAGCAGGCTCAGGGGAGGGGCAGGTAAGGGGCCGTTTGTGACTAAGAAAGCTGTTAGGGAGTGTCTAAGGACTTGAGCTGTGAAGCCGTATACATGTGTTCATGGTCAGGTCTATTTCATGGATCTTTAGTCTTTAGAAAATTGCTGTGTGTCTCAGTTTGCTCGTGAGGGGACTTTGCGGAAGTGAGGACTGTTGAGATGGCATATGGTTTGGAATCAGTAGAAATGAAAAGCACTTCAAATGAGCAATAGGCAAGACTTTCTGGGGGAAAAAAAAATAAGGTATAGAAGTTTGGTAAAAAGGAGTCCAAAGTCCAAAGCAGGGGAAACTGGAGTCCATATCATTATCAAAAAGACGCCATGAAGTCAGAAAAAGAAACATAGTAGAGGTTAGGTTGGTGCTAGTGGCGAGGAGAGAAAATGAAGGATACTCAAACAAAAATAAATATTTGGAAAAGAAAAAAAAAAAGGAGAGGAGAAGGAATGAGCAAAATAAGGAGGAGAAAGGAAAGATTGGATTTTCCCCAGCAGTAGTGTGTAAATACAGGCATTCGGTGTGAAGCCTGGCGTGGGGGCAGCGTCTTTCTGCTCTTCCTCTTCCTCCTGGCCCCTCCATCTCCTGCTTCTCTAACAAACATAAGGCATGCTTGTTAGGAACACAGGAGTCCATCTGTTCAGGTCCAATCAATTCTTTGTTATTATTTTCTTCCAGAGCGGGTTATTGAACTTGGGGGCCTTAAGCATACTTGGTCGAGTGAGCCTCACCCCTAACTCTGAATGCTGCTTGTAGAGATTGGTCATTCAGTAGCTATGTTTGGGGAGGACGTAGGGCAAGCTATGTAACTTCCCCGTGCCTCTGCTTCTTTGTTTATAAGGTAGAGATAATAGTTCCGCTCCTTGGAGCATTGGTAGTTAGGTTCAGATGCGCTAGCGGAGTAATGGCAGACAGGCTAGAGCACAGCATTAGCATCGATAGTGTGGAAGGGCTACGGACGTCAGCAAAAAGCAGTAGTAGCATACCACTGAACATGAACAGTAGCTTCTTTCCATTCCTCCTCAATTCACTCAATATTCACCCATTCACCGTATTTCCCAAATATCAGAGCCGTGAAATGAAATTACTTCATTTGTTAATATGGCCTAGTAGTATAAAACAAAACAAAATTTTGCCAGGCGGGTCATTCACATTGTTGAAGGTTTTTTTTTTTTCCTAAAGATTTATTCATTTATTTTTATGTGTGTGAGTGTTGTGCACGCATGTATGTAGGTCCACCATGTGCATGCCAGAGCCCGGGAGAAACTGGAATTACAGACAGTTGTGTGCTGCCATGTGGGTGCTGGAAACTGAGCCCGGGTCCTCTGCCAGTGCAACCCGACCCCACGACCCCACATTGTTGCTGCTTTTAAAGACAGGGTTGGGGAAAACTGGTGAGCTCTATAAATTCTGCTTTTCCTAGAATTTTGAGACACGTGCGTGAATGGCATCTTTTCTCTCCTGTGATTCAAAATCAACAAGGCAGAGTCACCTCTGATTCTTCAAATGCAATCCTGGAAATAAGCTAAAGAAAAAAATTTTATTAGCTAGTTTGTAACAGTCTTAAAAAATATTTCTTGTCCACCAAGGGTGACTGTTTTCTCATTTCTCCTCTCTCAGTCTCCCTCCCCCTCTTCCTCCCTCACACTCTCCTCCCTTTCCTTTCTCTTCACTTTCCCTCTCTCCCCCTCACATCCTCTTCCCTCCCTCTCACACTCCTCCCTCCCTCACTCCTTTTCTCACACCCTTCTTCCTCTCACAACCTTCTCTCCTCACTCCCTTCTTCCTTAGGTACCCCTCCATCACTGGCACATGCCTCCGAAAGCAGACAGACATTGTGTGTCTGTGCCTGCTTTGTAGAAATAATAGCCCAAAAGGTTGGTTAGAAAATCCATGACTTCCAAAACAAATAACATGTTTACATAAATAAGAAAACAATAAGATGGGGTCTGGATTGTGGAGGGGGTCAGACCATCTCACTAAAGAGTTGTAAGAAATCCTTCGCAACCAACATTTATCGAGCATAAGTCCATTACACAGTCTGTATTCATTTGTTTGTCCACTTTTCATAAGAAATGCATATTTTAGCCGAGCAGGGGTGGTGCACGCCTTTAACCCCAGCACTTTGGTGGCAGAAGCAGGTGAATCTCTTGAGTCTGAGGCCAGGTCAATGGAGTGAGTTCCACAAGAGCCAGGGCTACACAGAGAAACCCAGTCTCGAAAAAGCAAAAAATAAAAGAAATAAATACATATCTTAAGAATCAAAATACGCATTCAGTTATTTCTGAAATTTTGCTTACTTACATTTCTAGCTCCTGTACTTTAAAATGTGTGTGTTTGGGGGTGGGGGGGAGCATTCCACAAAGAAAATCCAGTTCCGGTTTATAGGGACGATTACTTGAGTAGTAAAGTTTCTTGGTTCAGGTCCGTCCTCCCTTGGGAGCACAGGTCTAATAAAGCTTACTGTGCAGCAGTCCCTGCCACAAGGTTGTCGTCCAGCTTGCTTCCCACTCTCACCGAAGCAGAGGAAGGAGGAGCGGGATGCCCACTGGTTTTTCTCCATGTAAATCTTAAGATGATTAAAAATGGCAGCCATCGTCATAGAATCGTCTTGCCTTGAAGAGTAAATAAATAAATAAATAAATAGATGTTAATTCAAAGGTGAAGTTGGCTATGCATATCCTCTATTATTTTATGTATTTAGACTTGCTATCTGTGCCGATATGATTACTTTGTAGCTGAGAATCTAAATAAAAATTCTATCTGAATTTTTAAAAATCTAAATAAAAATAGAAAGCAGGTGGAGAACTTGGTTCTGTTCATGTTTATACTCTTCAGTGCAAAGTGGAAGTGTAAGACATCAAACTCAGTGTATAGAATGAATGAGAATGAAGTGTTCTTTGGGAAAGACAGTGAACTGAATTGTCAGCTGAGAAAAGAAAGGAAACTTAAGATAAGTAGCAGTGACCTGAGAGTGCTCGTGATCACCTTCTGTATGTGTCTTCTCTCCTGTGTCCATCCAGTGCAGACAGCTGAGTAGCTCTTATTTACAGCTTATCCAAACATTATCATTTACTTACATATGTGGCTGAGCATTTACTAGCAATATACATCTGAGGTCTTTAACTAAATGAATCCTAAAGGAAAACACTGCCCGCTACCGATACCTCCTTTGGTACTGTGAAATGACCTTCAGATAGCTACACTCAATCACAGAGTAGAATTTATAACCAGAAGAACATTGAGTGAAGCTATTAAAAAAATAAAAAGAGGGGAAAAAATGAATTCTTTCCATGGTAAAGTTTACAGGTCTGAAAGCAGCGGAGTTTCCCTCTATCTTCATCAGCAGTGTGTCCATTAATTAGCCCTTCAATTCCACTTCAATTAAATTAACTCTAATTAATAAGTTCATTACAAAGATTGACGCACCTTGCTCAAAGCCCGTGTGTTAAACGCTGATAAACAACTTCACCCTAATGAAAAATTGATTCGATTGAATAAAAGGGGGACCTCCAAAAACTCCTCTTTTGATGCTGCGTTGATGTTGTGTTTCTCTGAAGTTAATCAAACCATCTTGGTCTCTTAATCAAAAATTTAATTCAAAGGAGATAGAAAAACATGGTATGGGGGAAAAAATCAGAGACACAACTCTCTCCCGGCTAATTTCCTGAAGGTTGTTTATAAGAACTGTTGCAGTTCTTACAATGTCTTACTGTGGTGTCAAAAGGAGATAAGAATGTAGATAAGTATAGTGGCCAAGAAATGCCGTTTGGGGACTGAGTGTGAAACAGGAGTATGTGGTGATATAAATGCTTACTACTTTTAACTGTAAAGAAATAAGGCACCCATCTCTTTCCTATTTGTTAGAAATGATTTTTGGAATGAAAACCAAAATCGTTGGAACAATAGTTTTGCGGTCTTAGGACAAAACCCACAGTTAACTTAATAAAAAACCCAACAATTCGTCAGAGTTCCCTTGCCCTCTATTTCTCCCTCTTTCTCCATTAGATGTAGTTAAATAAAGCTCTTAAGAAAGCTTTATTAAAACAAAAAAAAAAAAAAAAGAAAGAAACTTCAGACATCTGAATTCTTTTTAAAGGCTTACATCCAGTGTTACACAATTTGAAGGCATTTGGTCATTGTGCGCCTTTCAAAAATTCCAGCAGATGAAAATCTTTGTTTTTAAAATGACAGAGTCAGTGTGTATGTTTATTATTAAACTGGTTTTCTATTATGCGAGCGAGGCAATTTGTAGCTGTCAAGAGTACAAATTTACTAAATAGGAAAAACAACATTTCCTCTTATTTAACCAGCATGCCAGCCTGTGTGAGCAAGCTAATGTGCTTTCTATAACAGATTCTCCTCCAAGTTTCTGAATATTTTTAAAAAAAAAAATTGAAGCCCTGGCTTTAGCAATCAGCGCTTTTCATTTCTCAGTGACTGTGCATAATACAGTTTCTGTTAAGTACTTGACAGCCATAGCTACTCAGAGATCTCATTATTTTGGTGTGCATGTTTTCTCTTGGCCACCAGGGGTGGTAGCCTTATATATTTATACGTGACTATGCTATGCACATAGTACGTATAATATAGTAAAGAAAATTTCCCATATGTGCTTCATGTACTCGCATAGCCACATATAAAATTAAAGGAGATGAAAGAATGTAACAGTTGCTACTCACTGGTGTACAGCGCAATGGCCTTGCCCTTCACTTGGACAAATGTAAGGTGCAGCTCCTAATACTTGTCCTTCTCGCCCCCACCCCGTTCTTCCCTCTTTCTGCAATCCAGAAATATGTTCGGTGGACTGCGGCTCCCATGGTGTGTGCATGGGGGGTACCTGTCGCTGCGAAGAAGGCTGGACAGGCCCCGCGTGCAACCAGAGAGCTTGCCACCCTCGCTGTGCCGAACATGGGACCTGCAAGGACGGCAAGTGTGAATGCAGCCAAGGATGGAACGGAGAGCACTGCACGATTGGTAGGCCAGCCAGACTTCCAGTTACTTATCTATTTCTTTCTCTCTCCCCCCCCTGTGCTGGGACCAATCCCAGAGCCGTCTACGTGTTAGGAAAGCAGTCTATCACCAAGCCCCACCTACTGACATGCTTCTCCTCGTCCTCCGTCTACTGCAAAAGAGGTCAAATTTGTGGCTGTTTTTCAGCTTGGAAGAAGCTCCCCTCTTCAGATTATTTTTAATTTTCTCATCTAGAAAGAAGAGTTTTGCTTTTAATGGCCCGCTGCATTTTACAGAGCTGATTTGTTTCTTGTTAGAGGAACTTGCCTGAGTGTGAGATACACTATTTGTGTTTGTTGCTTAGCACGAAGGCCACAGAAGTGGACTTACATGAGGAAATTTCAGTTTTTTGTTTATGAGCCATGCATTTTTGTCAGCTGTAACGCACCCATGCAGATCAAGCACAAAGTGCCCGCCTGGCCACCGCGGCTGGCTTCATCATAAGTGCTCTCTGGTGGTATTCCATACTGATACTGCACCTCCTGAGAGCAATCATCCTTTCTACTTCATGGATTTTTTTCAGTTTCCCAAATACCTGTGCTTGCTGAGCTCCATAGATCCCAGCATCACCTTTCTTAGTCTTTTAGTACAGTGAGTTTCTACCAAGGAGGTTTGATTTCCCCCCCCCCCATGGCTTTATATTACAACTTCATTAGAAGTAACATAGGAAAAGCCCAAGTGTGGCTGTTCTTTATATGCCTGACACTTCTTCAAATATGACAGTGTTCATAAACACCTTTAGGTTGGATAAAATATTAACCATCTCTTTCAGAACAAAAATGGTTTTTGTAAAAGGAAAAAAAAAAAGTGGTAAAAGAAGTTGTCCCTAACCAGAATTTAACGTGGATTCAAAAGTACGTAGAACAGATGTACTACCTTTTCAACATACGCAGTATTCCTCTACCATTCAAGTTACAGAATTAAGATGCCGAACTAATAACGTACATAAAAGGGTGAAGCAAGTCATAAATTTCTACCTCAGTTCGTTAAAAGTATCCATCATTGACTATAAATGAGTCTGACAAAAGTTTCGGAAGGTTAGGCGCCATGTTTTCTCAGATGTTTTATGCTCATCGGGTAAAATTTGATGAAACTGTCTGGGAGCGTGTCAGGAACTTAATGTATTCTTCCAATGTGTGTGTATGATGCACCTCTTGTTTTGCTTACAGGAATTGGGCGGCAAGAAATTTCATCATGGGAAACAGAAATCACAAATGTGTTATAAGAGTGTCACAATTCTGCGGTCACATGCACATACCTACCCTCTACACACACACACACACACACACACACACACACACACACAATTAAAAGTCAGTATTTTTTTTTATTTGCACAATTCTGTCTTTACCAACTTTTATGTAAGGTTCTTTGCAATGTTGCTGGCATCCGTGAAAACCTGTTTCCAGAAACCCAGCACACCCCCGTGTTTGGTGATCTCCTTTGACATCTATTTCACGGGTCCCACCACCTCCGCATCTTTGGGCCATCTTCTGGGACTGTAGCTTATAGCGATCAGAAAGAGAGAAGGCTACATCACAGTCTGGGGCCAAGGGGAACATTAGCCTTTCCCCAGGTTGAGATGCCTCAGTGTGTGTGCAGAATTTCTGCCGAGCAAACAAGCATCTGAAACTCAAGGGTTCAAGGGTCTCCACTTGAGGAGCTGTCTTCTGTCTGCCATGATCACCAATACCTCAGGGTCTTCGGAAAGCAGGTGTTTAGGGCTCCCTGTGGACATGAGACCTGGAGCAGTACAGCGAGCATCCAAACTTTCTGATATCACACAGCTCCCAGCCCTGTGAGCTTCTAAAGGCCCCATCTGCACCGTCACCTCTGCAACACCCACGGGGGTGACTTGGTGAGGGGAAGTTACTGCCTGACGCTGGCGGAAGGTTCAGTCTGCTGGAGTCATCCACAGCTTATATATTCACAGCTCAAGCTCTTGCCCGGTGTTCATCCCGCTCTGAGGCAGCTTTCCCTTCTGCTGTCGGTGGGGCTTCCAGAGCAGGGCCCACAGGAAGCTCATGAAGCTGCCTTAGCAGAAAACAACAGGCAAGCAGGATTTCTGTACCTTTTGGGGACATACAAAGGACTGTGCAGTTAGTTCCCCTAGTTCCACACAGAGGCAGGACTACAAAGATATGTTTCTTATATCATCTGACCTCATCACATGAGCAAATTAATTATATTTCTCACTGTATATCCTAAGGACAGCAAGTACCTAGCTTTAAAAAATCAGAAATGTACCAGGAAGCCACTAATGGGGACATATGACTCGGTGCCCAATAACTACCCAGTAAGTTATTCTGTTGCTGCTTCCTCACTGGCGTTGGCGGTTTTATATGGATGACATTAACAGTGAACAGTTTCCTATGGATAAATTATTATTCCTGAACAATTTCCCAGTTGTGTGGAAACAAACAGGACTTTTGTCAGTGCTGGGTCTTTTTCTTGAAGTTGGATGTCTCCTGCATTGTTGGTGAACAGCTCTGTTTTCTGAGGTTTTCATTAACTGTGTTGCTCTATACTCTAGTCCGGGAAATAAAGGACCTGCTTGGATGTGAACCTCTTAAACGATGTGGAGCCCCTTTCAGGCTGAGGATATACTCTGTGGTAAAATGTTTGGCCAGCATCCACAAGGCCCTGGGCTCAGTTCTAGGCACACCAAAGTGAACGGTGTAGAGGTCCTTTTAAATCCTACTCGGCTCTTTCATGTTGTTGGAATGATTCTATTTTTGTCACACATAGGTGCAATTTCCCTTCTCTCTGCTTCTGTGTGTGTCACAACGAAGCCCAAGAGCCATTTGTGAGCCACTGGCGAAGCAACCAGGAGCCGCTGGGGCTCTTTCTCACGTGGGGCAGTTCCTATTCCATGAAGCACCTCTCCATTCAAACACAAATCTGGCTAAAGGAAACTGGCGTCCTCTGACAGACTACTCGTAAATCAACGAGATTTCCTTTTCCTTTTCTCCATAGTGTGTGTCATCTCATAGAATACAAACAGGGAGGTTAATTGAAACAGAGGTGGAGGAGAAATTAAACAGTTAGAAGCAAACACTGGTTCTCAATTGAAAACAAGAGAATATTCATTAGTCATCTTTCTGTCTTCATAAACTCAGTTCACGCTTTCATAAAACCGTGGGCATGTTGATAGTGAATTAGTCAGGAATGCAGAATACTGGCTGGACTCTTGCTGTTACATCGGGGGGTTACATCCTGATGTTTTTATTAGTGTACTCATATTTTCCTCTTGTTACAAACCACGAGTTCAGCAAATTAGGCCTGTTTATCTATAGGACTTGTGCCAAGGCCTCCTTTCTTGGGTAACACTTTTCCTAGTGACTCGTGCAGATAGAAAATAAAGCAACGGGAGACTGATTTTCGGCAGTAAGTGTGATTAAAAGAGGTCTCTTTCTCTTTCTCCCTGGGAGGCACTTAGGATTGTCGGACCCCTTTATGACTGAGGAAACAAAGGGAGTTTGAATGAAAGAGCCCCATCCATGAGGCAGCGGTACCTGTCACTCGTGTGGTTTGACAGCAATAGCACACAACACGGGTTTCATTCTGAGGTTGGCATAACGTAGTCGTACCCTGCCATGCTGCAGCTTCTCCGCAGGTGAGAGGGTGATCCCAGTTGGCATAGTTTGAACATCGTGTGTCTATCGCTGTCTTTAAGAAAGCCAAAGGATTCTGTCTCGCATTGAGCCGAAGTGAGTCAAGTTTAAAGCTGGTATCTAGTAGTTCGAATCTGTGAACCTCGAGGCCCTAGAGAGGCTGTGACCACGTTGAGTGAGTTCCAAGTTGTTTAACTTGGACTTGGAACGTCCAAACGTGTGGAGGCCAACTCGGTTGGTTGGGTTCGATCTCCTGGCTTAGGAAAAAGAAGGGACAGCTATAGACTGTTGGCCTGTGTCTCCACTTAAGGGGCCACAAGATACAAATACTGCATCCCCAGCATCCCCAACTGGGAAATGCTGTTTATTAGCAGAGTGCAAAGCTAACCGAATGTCCTGGGCGGTGAGAAATCCTAATTGCCTTGTTTTGAGTACTCATTAATCTATAACTTCCACAAGGGCCTTTCCTTTTGACGTTTCCCAAAAAGATTTTTTCCCTGTGCTATCCACTGATGTCTGTCCGAGTGCATTGGAGACTAAAGATGAGATTGAGGTCTTCCTGGGGTGTTGAATTGCATTTGATTGTTCTCTACCATGGAGAGTTGTCACAAAGGACAGGGAGGGCTCAGCTCCACAGGCTCTGTGGTGGCTGTGTGTCTTCTCAAGCTGGTCAATGTTTGACATTTCTCCAGGGAACCAAAAGGAAGAAAATGGGCTTAGAGGTGTAGAAGATTGGAGGTTATGTCTCCTCTTTTGTGTTAAAGCTTTGGGGTTAATTTTAGAAGGGGGATTGATTTTTAAACTTCTTTCCATTCCATCCATTATCCCAAAGGATTAAGTCTTTTGGATCCTTGCCCGATCTGAAGGACCCTTGAGGTCTTTTGCAATTCTAGGATGCCTTATCTGTATATGGTTTCTGCTGAATATGCGAAAGCAAGAGGAATCACCTTCACTTTTTAAGAAACCCTGAGATCCACTTTGTAGATATCACGTGCCCCTGTCACTTTTTACCCATGAATCCATTTCTTCGCCCATTAAGCCTCACTGAAAGGCTTCTCTGTGATACTTATTGAATACTGTTCCATTTAAAAGGCGATGTAAGTTTTTCCTAATACACAGGCTGTGATTTTTCAAAGGTATGTCTCTGTTATTTCTGTGATTCAGCATGACTAGCGTCCTAACTGTTCTTAGCATCAGTTGGAGTCTTTCTTATAATGTGAAGTGGTGATAATGGTTAATTTTTATGTGGGAGTTTAGAGCACAGTGTTCTGATGTCTGAGAACTTGTGGACCTGGGTCCTCACTGAACTACTAAGTGACCTTGAACAACTCATTGACATTTTCTTTCGTG